CTACAGTGCCTGACTCTGAGTTATACCCTGAGTTATGTAAAATGATTTTTTTTTTAAACAAGAGAGGGGATTGTTAGTAGGAGCTATATATTATTGCCTAGTTTCCAGTTTTAGAAGCTTTAGTTAATTGGCTGTTTTTAAATGTACTTTCTCTTTAGAAGATAATTTGAATATCCAAAGATATGGATGATCTTGGGGAAGATACCTTGGCCCGTGAGAAGGGCACAAATGTGGTGAGATTATGGAGAGCAGGTCCAACTTCCTCTCTAGTGTGTTCTGGCCACCAATGTCATATTCACTGACTGCATGATGATGATTTTCTCAACCTGACTGGGTTGAGAAGGTACCTCAGCCCAGACAGCAGCATGAAGCAACTTGAAGGAAATGATTTGGGTTTTGGAGTATGGCATATTGGAATCAAATCCTTACTTAACTGCTTTCCAAGTCTACAATCCTATTCACGAAGCTGTGAAAGTTTCAAATCTGCAACATATGCGTGGGGCTTTAATTCCTATTTCCCCCAATTTCTTTGAGGATTGATAGACACAATGAATATGTAAAGTGAATTCCCTGATACACTGTTTTGGTTTTTTTTTTTTAGTCTAAATTGTTTGGACTCATTTAAAAGGGAAGATATTGGGTATGGGAGTGAGGCTCGGGGACAGAGCATTTGTCTAGCATGAGAAAGGTTCTGCTTTTTAGCTCCAGTAGTGAAAAAAAGAAAAGAAAAGGAAAAGGAAAAAAGAAAAACCCACAGGATATGATGTGATAAGACCTCCTGTACTATAAAATGGGCGGGGCCTAGATCTCAGCAACAAGTGGCCATTGGCACCCCCTGGGTGTAGTTAAAAGGATTGGCTAGATGTACCCTTCCCTAGAGATTTGGATTCAATTAGACTTCTATCTGTTTTCAGGCTTGTGGTTGCAAAAACTCCCCAGGTGTTTTTAACATGCCATGGACACAACCATTGCTTCAACATTAATAAAACTTCAACATAAACAGTCTACAGAACCAGTTAAAAAGACAGATTCTGAGTCTCTAGGTTGAGGATGGGGCCTGAGATTGCGCATTGCTACCAAGCTTTTGGATGAAGCTGGGGATGCTTATCTGGGAGCAAGTAGCAAGTGAATGATGCCCATCACTATAGCTCTCAATCTTCAGTGTTCATTAGAATAACCCAGGAGTCTGTTGAAAATAATAGCACAGGGCCTGAACACATCTGTCCAGATTGTATTTCCTCTAGTTTAAGGAAGATCCTAAGTGAATCACTGATTTCTAATATTTCCAAGCCAAGAAGCTCCTGATACTGATCATATAATATAGGTTCTCTCCCAGTTCAGTTGTTGGTTATCAAACAACTGTCGAGTCTGTAGGAGATCATTGTCAGAAAACTGAAAGATGGGTGAATCCAAATTATGTAACACCAGGATCGAGCTGATCTTTGAAGTCACACATATCTCCCCAATCATCCACCAAGTGCCTTCTCTGTTAGCAGGATATACCAGCGATGAATCCCTCTCTGATTAACCAGAAAAGCATCATCCTGCAGCCACAAGAGACCAGTAGGAGACTCCCAGCCTTTATTTCTGCTCCATACTTTTGAAAAGCAGAACTCCCAAAGGAGGTTCTCCCCACTTTGAAGTCAAAACAAAAAAGAATGGGGTTGGTAAAAAAAAAAAAATAACAAGCCGCTTTATTTAACAGTATAGCTCCCTGGCCTTTGAAAATCTCTAAGACTTCCAAGGAATCTGTGCCATCATAGATTATCTTTTTTCCTTCTTAAAGTACTCTACTTAGGGCAGGCTTCCCTCATTTTGCTTTCAAAAAAAATTAAAAACAACTATGAAGTACAACATAATTCTGCATTAGTTGCTTCGGATAATGCTTTTGTGCATGATTAATATAACAAGTTCTGCTTTCCTAGCACTTAATGAACAAGAACAGTAAATTTATATATGGGTAAATCATATAGAAAATGAGAGGGAAATTAAAGATGATCTTGCTTTTGTCTTTAAAATACTTGCATTTGTAAGAACACCGAAATTGCTTAAGGGACAACTAAAAATTTCAATAAAGACACAACAGTTTTGTCCAACAGGCTTAGGCCGCTGAAGTTCCAAGTACTCAATTCTGTACAGTGTCCCCAGCTAGACATTTATAGGAAAGGATATATAATATTGGAATTTTATCCCTAGGATCCAAATCCTAATATTCCTGGGTAGCCGGACTAGATTGTCTTAACAGAAAGCTGTCCTGGAGTGAGATTCATCTATATTTCTTATTCATTTATATCCCTTCATCTATATTCCTTTCTAAAAACGTATTCACAATACTGCCCTCCTTCCCTTCTCCTTCTTTCTCCTTAGAGCCTTGTCATTGCTTAAATACATGCTAGAGCCATGCACTAAAAACCATGCATATTTGGTGTGTGGAGGGAAAGGAAGGGAAAGGAAGGCCATGGTACTCAGCCCTTCACCCATAGTCTCAGAGCCTTTCACCAGGCATAGGGGCTTGTTGTTAAGGTCAGACTGGGGAATCTATACAACATGGAAGGAAGCCAACCTAGAGGAGACAATGCTGTGCACTGAAAATCTGGAATCTGGAAAGTCTTAATGGAAAAGGCTCCAGAAAGGAAGAGACTCCAGGGATGATAGGCCTTAGGAGTGGATCTCTGGGGAAGGTGTTTACCTCATATTTATGACAAAACAAAGAACTAGGCAGATGAAGAACAATATAAATATTGTTTTTTTTGGTCATTATCTAATCTGAGTTTTGGTGAAGCAAGAGAGAAATCATTGTGTGCTTATACTTATAGAATATTTCCAAAGATTTAAGTTTGCTAGATATGGGATATTTAAAGCTTTCTATCAGGGAAGATCTCTTTATTTGCAAAGCCATGGCTGCCTTGTGAACTTTCATGTTCTTTCTGTCAGGGATGATGGTTTAATTGATTTACTGGTGTTTAGCATGCCTTGTGTGGTAGAATTTGTGTTAAGCATTTTAAAACCTTTCAGGAATGATCTTAGGTCACGATTGCTGCTTCCATCTTGTAGAGGACTATCTTCTAATACTGCAACTGCCGCCACATGCTCCTGCTTACAAGCAGAAGGAGAGAAACAGAAAGGGATGGTTCCTAAATCTAGGTCCCTAGAGGCACAGGCTGCATCTGTCACTATTGCTGGTGCTCCAGTTGAAATGCAAACTCTCCACACTTCTGAAATACCTACATTTCAGATCTGTTCAATCTGGGGGCTTGAGAGTAATGGCCTAGTTGGTGTTATGGGAACACCAGTTTCTCCTGCTGACCCAGGATCCTTTGGTTCCTTGACCCTAATTCTCTCTTAAATGAACATGACCCCAGAGAAGAGTTGTAGCTTATGCTACCACCTCCCATGGATTTTCCAGTCTCTCTACTCTGGAGTCTTAACCACAGTCACTGATGGTGACAATTCTGACCATTCCTCCCCCAGCTCCATCTGCTGACAGCCTCCAGACTTCAAGTTCTCTGAGCCTCCCACACCTCTGCCCACTTCTCTTTCGTGAAAGCTGGGAGCTTTTCTTCTTCAAGGGTTAATCTGTCCTCAGTGCAAAGTGGAGCTTTTTATTCTGGAGAATTAATGTTTCTTGCTCCACCCACATCTGTGCTGCTTTGGTGGATGGATTGCCACAAAACATGTATCTGGCATTCAGACAGAACCCAGCAGATGTAGCAATGTAGAAACTCAGGCCTGGTATGGGATGCAGTTTTCCTTCATCCCCCTTTCCTTCCAGCTTCTACTCTGATCTACTTCTAGTACCTTCCTCCTTCAGAGCCAGTACTGGCCACCCCTCTTCCTCTCCAACGACACTTTCATGTCTCTAAGTGGCCTCAGCTGAGAGTGGTAATGCTGTATCCTTCCTTTTACAGAGTGAGAATTAGTTATTGTATTTTTAAAAACCACTTTTGCTAATCGACGCTCTACTGATAAACAAGTGACCCTTGTACACTAGATCATTCCCAGTCCCTCCTGACTACTGGAAAAAGGGGGCAGGGAAGGGGGAGGTTTTCAAACCTAGCAATTTGCTTCAGAATGAGATTAAAACAAATCAAAAGACCACTTGGGGAAAGCCACAGTAGAATATTATCAGTGCCAGCTAGGAGGTCCTCACTGGGTAACAGTGAAAGAAGCTGGGATTGAAAAACTCTCCTCAGCTCTGCTTTGAGACTGCCAAGTTCAACTGCTTTTCTAGTTATAAAAAGGTATCGCCTGTAGCATTTGGGACATGACCACTAGCAGGTTGCTTTAATTAAACACCTTACTTCTTCCACAGAAAACATAAACTAGGCTTCTAAATAAAGAGTATCCTACCCACCAGGAGATCCAGCTTATGACAAAACATTCCAGAGAATCCTTGAACAGAAAAGCAAGCATGCTGGAGTGTAACTGATCATAATGAATTAGGTACTGAGAATCTATCCATCAGCTACATTTCCTAGAAGGGGCATTTCTTACTGTTCCTTGCATATGCACCATTAATTCTCAAACACAGTAACTGGAAACCATCTAAAACAGAAAGCACAGCTAGAGAGAGAATTTCCATGATTATCTCCAGAGTCCCTAATCTAGACAGATTTCTCTCATCCAGGGCAGAATGCCCTGAGGTTTCTTTAAGGGTAGTGGCTGCAAGCCTAGAGTTTTCTAGGAAGAAAAGCATCCTTAATTCCTTTTAGATATATATTTGGGGTAGGTAGAGAATCTTTTGATTAAAACAGCTTTCAGACTGTACCCAAAGTTGAGTGCATTTTTTTTAAAACTATCTTCAAGAAGGATAACTGATTTATTCTAAACTATGCCTGATTCAATTCCAGCAGCAATTAGGTAGAGATTTATCAATTTATGAATACCAATTATTAACATTTTGGGGGACAGAGCTTAAACTGTTTTAGTTGACCCTATACTGTTATAAACCCAGCATGCAACTGAAAGGACTTTCCTTTTTCCTCCTTGAGCTTTATTACCTTGAGCTCCTTGGCTATAGAAGAATCTTTGAGCTGACTCCACATCCAAGAGTCTATGAGCAGACTCGACATCCAGAAAATAATCCATTTTGGGATAATCCATTGTTGACGTTCCAAACACAGGATTTGGAGAGAATATCTTCACTTAGATACCTATAAAGAAAAAAAAAAACCACAATAGTTTATACTGTCAAGTATGAAGTATGTACATACTTTAAATTTTTGAATGGGAACATCGGATTATCATATACCGTTATTTGACTGGCATTTCTAACTCAAAATCCCCCTCCCCCACAACAGAGATTTCCTTTTGTATAAGAGAAGACAGCCTTCAGCCAACATTCATTAAAAGTAATATATTCCACTTCGGAAAAACAGAAGATCCAAGTCAAAGTGAGATAACATCCAGTCTTGCCTTGCTGTATACTTAAAACTAGAAAATTATACTGCTAAGTTCAAGGGCTATCAGTTCTCAAAAGGTCTGTCTGACAAATGGCATTGTTAGGTGTCAGCTGATCTTCAGCTGATCCAGAGACTTTTGGATTCCCTCCTATAGACAATCTTCTGGGAATCTGAGCTTCCACTCACAGCTGCCTTACCTTTATAACATACACACTGACTTATTTGCTGTAGAAATGCATGGAATTCCTTCCTTCGCAGGGAAGTTCAACAGATCCTTACCTGCTTGCACCTGCCACAGCCGGCTTTGGGGAAATAATTGTGGTTGGCAGAGCAGTGACGATATTACAGCCTTGCAATGATTTTCATAGCATATACATTTGCCTGACAGGAAGCTAATATACTTTATCAAAAATACCCAGCCTTTTGGGTCTACCCCAGCTCTCCCGAAGCCCCGGTAACCTTTTCCTGATATTTACACACAAGAAGTATCTCTATTTGTGTAGGATATGTTCAAAGCAGAATTAACAAGACAAAAATCAGAAATCTGAAGATTAATCTGATTGCTTTCTCTTCCTAATAGTATACATCTTAATTTAAGAAATCAAATCTAGCATGAGGAAACTTTTTTAAAAAAACACCCACATGTCCCCCAATAGCAAATTATACTTACTGTAAAAAAAAAAGAAAAGAAAAAAATCAAGGGCTAACTGTCCGCCAGTAGCCAAACAAGGGCAGTTCCAGCCAGCTGTCTTTGATCTCACTAAATATTCCCAGAGAAAGTAAACAATTTTGATTGTTTGATTAGATCAGTGATGAATAATGTATTCCATCCAGTGGACTTCCTTTATCAGATAATATGGCCAGCGCACGTTACCTTAGCAACGGAAGGTGACGCCAGCTTCAGCCACTCTGTGCCCTCCTCTGTGAAGGAAGAAAATCATGTTTCCCATGTAAAACTTTGGCAAAAAACAAAACAAAACAAAAACCAAAAAAAAAAAAAAACCTCCACCAAAATCTACATGGAGATTTAGAATGAGGGCCATCCCATTCCCTTCCCCCATCTCCTATGTCTACAAGTATGATAGTCATCATATCCCAGAATGACCATTTAATACTTTATTGTTACAATCCTAAATCCCCACTGGATTCACAAATACAGAAGAATAGCATCCATCATAAGATTAAGGGATGAATAAGAGAAAGTTAATCTAGACATTCTTAGGGTGCACCAGTACTCTACCCTACTTCCTGCTGAATGGGAAGATGATGGATAAAGGTCATTTTAGCTAACATATATTCAATCGTCTCCTCTTAGAATTAATACACAGAAACACTCTTCAGCATGTAGGCTGAAAATAACTCTTTCCTTCTGTGAATCAGTCACTGGGAGCAGCTTTAAAAAGCTGTCTGAAATTTCTGCAGATTTTGAAAGACAACATTAGAACAAATCTTACCCGAGACACTTGCACCCCTAAGGAAAGGCAGTCAGAAAGATAGACAAAAGGAAGATTCTTAAAGTTAGCGGAGACTCACCAGCACTTGTTGACCTCCTTGCAACAGGACGCAGGAGAGCAGGAAATGAAGCCGAGTGGAGCTTGCTCAGAGCCTGTGAGCTCAAATGAGCAGCTTTCTAATTTCCCCTTCAATCTCCAGTCAAGAGCACTGAGTGGGGGGAAATGATGGATCTGCCCATTTTATATTGTGATAAAATGCAACCCCACAGAAGAGATCCGAGTGGAACTGCTCTTTAGAACGCATTAGACTGCTAATTTAAGAAAATTGAAAGGTTTTGTTTTACTGTCTTTTATATGTTCTTCTCTGCTACCCCCTCAATTTAATTTGCATTTAAAATTATTCTCATGTCTCCTCGGCTCTCCAAGGTGTGGAGTACTTTCTAATCACAAAGGCTGCTCCGGTAGGCTTTTGGGGCCATGCCACAGTTATTCTGAGCAGCAAAACAAGGTGGGTAATTATAATTGTGGGCTATTTTCTGGAGAGAAATACAGACGGCAAGGTTTGGTTTCTCTGACTCGCAATTCCCTGGCTGTTTCTTCACCTTCCTGCCTCAGATTGCTTGCTCAAATCTTCAGCCCAAATCATGTCCACCTGTGTAAAATGCATTCCTCTCCTTCTGAATGTAGCCAAATGATCCTAGCAGCAGAAAAAAAGAAAACTTTGGTTAGGTCCCTGAGGAAGTTCTGATACTCAGGACAAATTTGTAGACACAAGGCTTTGAGATCTCTATTCATGAAAAATGTAATAATAGCCAAATCAAGCCCTAGTATGGGTTTTCCACCGCCTTCTTTCACCCTCTGTGCAACACACTGAATTAGTGTTTAGTATGGTATGCTGCGTGGCATATTGGAGAACCAACATTTGAGAAGACTTGGAAAGTAGCTCATTGGATTCCCCTCCCCCATGTACATAGTTCTGCCAGTTGCCCTTGAGCCAAAACCAAGGAATAAATAACCTACAGATTGCCTCGTGACTCCTCCCTCCACCCCCACCCCCCTCCCATGTCAGAACAAATCAGATGCCCACTGGGGCTGCAGAGAGTTAAGCCCAGTGGAAGAAGGGAGAAGCACCAATGGTAGGCACTTGGGGAGAAGTCAGTTTGGGATTCTAAATGCTAACAGTTTTGCTCAGACCCAAGGACTCACTTCTTTCAGGTTACATTTCTATTCAGCCCCCAATGGAGACAGGCTGAACACTTGACATTTACAAGAGAAGAAAGCTGTCTTCTAGTTCCTTTCACTTACAGTAAGGTGTGGGCGACAGGTTCTGAACCCTTTATTGTGAGTCTACTGAAATTGTAATGACTCACAGGTGAGAGAGAGAAGAGGGAGAGAGAAAACGAGAGAGAGAGAGAGAGAGAGAGAGAGAGAGAGGAGAAAGAGGAAGAGAGGGAAAGAGAGTAATAGAACAAGGGAGGGAGGGGAAAGAGGGGAGAGGGAGCAGGCAAGAGAGAGGGAGTGAGGGAGGGAGAGAAGGAAGGAGAAAGGAAAGAGAGGGATGAAGAGAAGGGAGAGGGGAAAAAGGAGAGGAAGGAGAGGGAGAATCAATTGCAGCTGACAAACAGCCACTATTTAGGCAAATACAAATGAATATGTGACAGGAAAAGGTAATGTTAAATGGGATATTTGAAAATCCTTCCTGGGTACTGATGGTGGGTTTGAACTTTAGATTTTTCTGGAGAGTTGACCAAGAAAGGAAAACATAAACTACCTTTTAAAGTGAAAAAATAATGCTTTGATTTAAAAATGAAACACAAAGGGAAAATTCAGCTTAATGAAATTTATTTAGGAAGAGGATGATTATTCACTTGCAACAAGGGACTTCATTTCACTAAATAATTAATCACAAGGTTTTTAACGTCATATCACCAGCTTCTGAAACAGATTTCAAATATGATTTCAGGCTCTGGAGTATTTAGCTTTGAATTACTCATAGGAAAATGCACATGAGGAAATTATCTTCCAAGGTAGGGAAGCATAGTAATATTCAAAAGCCAATGCCAAAAACTGACCAGTTAAACCCTATTTTACAATTTTAATCTGTTCAAAAGCAACACATAATGATGGCTCATTGTTCTAGATGCAATAAGTCAGAGAAGGTTGCAAGGTCAGTATAAGTACTCCAATTATGTATGCAGCACTGAGCAGTTCAACTCAAAACCCTGAGGCATCCGCTTAGTAAAAGTTAATGCAGACGATGTTAATATTTCTCTGTAAGCTAGAAATTAAAAAATTATATTGTTTAAAAATTTCCAAAGCGCAGTCATGTCTTTTACCTTGATGGCACCATGGTGAAATTGCTAAAGAGTCTGGCCATGACATGATGGTGCATGCTTATCATCACAGCACTAGGGAGGCTGGGGCAGGAAGATCAAAGCCATTATGGGTTCCATACTGAGACCCCGTAAAAAAAAAATAAAAAGAATATATAGAAACAAATGATCCAGAAACTAGTATTATATACCTATCTGTTTATAGAGAATATTTGTGCAATTGTTTTATAGATAGTATTTAATTAGTTCAAAATAGAGGCTTATTCACAAGGGAATCTGGAATCTTTATTCTATTGGACAGAAATATGACCCAAACATTTCAAGTGAGATCACATGATTTGTAAATGGATAACTGTTCTTGTTTTTTTAAATACTATCTGATTGACTTCCACTGGAATCATTCTAGGTTTAATCAGTTTCTAAGATTCCTGTAATTTATAATTTTAGAAAGAATTTTATTTATTGAATTGCTTTACTATAATCCAGAGCTCTCCAGAGCACAATGTTTTGTTATTTATTTATTTATTTATTTTGTGCAGCTACCAGGATGTGAACTCATGCTTTTATGCTCTCCATGAGCTGTTTAGCTCATAGCTGACCATGTCTCACTTGAGCCATACCTCCAGTCTAGCTATTTTGCTTGCTAATTGGGGATAGAGCCACTCAGACTTTTCTTTCTGGGCTACTTTAAACTGAGATCCTCAGATCTCAGATTCTTGAGTAGCCAGGATTGTAGGCCTGAGCCACTGGTATACAGTTTAGAACATCATGTTTTATATTTCTATTAGACTACATAAAGTTCTGTCTTCTACCTGCATGACATTTTGGTGAAGTTTCTCCTTTTTCCTGATATATCCACCCAAATTTACCTTTAAAATGGCAGAAGCTGTCTTACAGTGGCAAGGCATCTTGTCTCATTTCATAAAGTATCTAGATTGATGACTTTGGCTGAAGGGCTAACTTGCTAGACAAGTATAGCCATTACTTTGGTATCCCCATGTGCACCAGAATCCACAGATACCCAAGTCCCTTACCTAAAATATCATTATATTTGTGTATAACTTACCCATGTCCTCCTGTATACAGTAAATCATCTCTAGGTGATTTATAATACCTCATATATAAATGTAAATGTTCTATAGTTTCATGCTGCATTCTTTAGATAATGAAAATTCTGTGCTTATTCAGTACAGATGCAGTTTGTTCACTATTTCTATTAATGATTGGTTGAATCCATGGATGCAGAACTCATGCATACTGAGTTGAAAGGAAACCATGTCCATTTGTTTTTATGAATAGTTGACTCAAAAATAGATTTACTTCAAGTACAGTGGTTCCTCTCTGCTTGTCAAATGATTCAATTATCTTCCAGCCTCTCATTCACAAGAAATCTTTCCTTTCATTTCTCATTAGGGCTTGTCATAAAATAATAGAAGTACTGCAAATATTTTATCAAAGGCATTATTACTATTCAAATATCCCTGGAGAAGAAATACTTTCAGCCATCACCAGTTATTTTAACTTTGAAGTAAATTAATTTCTGGCTCTATCTTTTTAGAGAAGTTTTGGTATTAGCCGGAAAGCTAAAGAAGCTTGGGAAATTTAAAAAGAAAGAAAGTGACTGAATCAAAAAGTCTTTTAAGAAAGAGAAGCTTAATTCTATTCCGTGCTAGCATGCACTCATATTTTGAGGGTTTACTATTTGTAGAAGATGCCAATATTTCAGTTGGCAGAAAAGAGCATTAACTCTATAAACATCATAATCATAACTGGTTCCTGAAGCTGTCTTAAATGTTCAGGGTAGATTCTTAAATTCTCTTCAAGGACACTAAATTAAAGGAGTTTTCCCTTTTCTGTTAAGACAACTTTGTAGGGAGTTACCTTGGACTGCGTTGGCCCATATGGATGGACCAAAAAGGGAATTTTTAGCCTCACTTTATACCACGTCTGAAAATATCCACCACCCCGCCATGAATCCTTTGAAGAATGGTCTGTTTAAAGAATAAAGAACAGAAATGGAGGTATAAAAGGTAAATAAGAACAGCAGTGGTACTCACAAGACACAATGTTGAAAATGAACTATACAACTTGTGGGTGGAGATGGAAAGAAAAACTAAAACTGGGAGAGAGTGAGGAATGGAGTGACATTGTCCAAAAAGAAATGTACTCATTACCTGACTTGGGTAACTGTAACCTCTCTGTACATCACCTTTATAATAACAATTTAAGAAAAGAATAAAGAGCAAGAGTTCAAATAGCATTTCATGCTCTGAAAACTGTTGATTTTACTTGAAATATAGGAAATCTCTTTAATGGGAAGAGGGAATAGTTACAAATCATATCTTATTCTTGGGCTCCTGTAATTGATCTGACAGTAGGGAAAGAGAGGAATGGCGAGTAAAGCAATGAAGAATTCTCAATATCTCAAGCTCTCTACTGATAGTAGCCTCAGATCCTTAGCCATGAGGGTAAGATGTATTAATATTGGTGCTTTTGTAATATGAATTTTAGAACATATGATAGTGAAAATATATAATAAGGAAAAATCACATTTTCCTTAAATCAATCTCTGTCTCACTCTCTTTCTCTCTTTCTCTCTCTCTCTCTCTCTCACTCTCTTTTTTTTTTTCTCTCTCTCTCTCTCACTTTCTCTATTATAATTTCTTTCAACTTTCTGGAAGTAGACTGAAAATGAATCACAAGTCCAAGTGCATTTTCCTCAGATAGCAACCTGAAAATATCCAAAGACATATTTGTTGACAAAGGAAAGAATAATGACTTTTTAGGGCCATACATCTAATAGACCCTGCACAGATCACAGTACGCCCGAACTTCTAAAGCACATCAGACGAACAGAGCTAAAGATAGCCTTGAGATCAAGGAAGATAGGGGTCTATGGGTAGTATCACAAAAGTATGTCAAGGAGACAACAGTGATCATTTCATTCTATTTATATTTTAAATATACTGTCAAATTCTCCAGCAAGGTCTCTGCGCCTAATCATTAATACTAAATGTTTTCCT